GGGGATTGCGCGAAGCGAGGGAGCGAGAGAGTGGAGAGAAAGAGGAGAGGGCAGAGATAGAGAGCGATAGATGGAGAAAGATTGGAGGGGGTAAGGATGTTGACAATCGTTGGTCGAGAGAAGCAAGGACAAACAACCAACCGACTATGGAAGGGAAGGGAAGAGAGGGGGAAACAGGACGATTAGCAATCGGTGGAATAGGAATGGGGGATGGTCGGTGGGTTGAAACTAGTCTGTGCACTGACTTGTCGCCACAAGTGGGTATGTTTTGATCGCCGGGAAAGGAGAAAGGGGGGGGGGGGGGGGGGGGGGGGGGGGAGAGAGAGAGAGAGAGAGAGAGAGAGAGAGAGAGAGAGGGAGGGAGAGAGCAAGGGATAGAGAGAACGAGCTTGATCTGGTTTTTCGTGGTAGCTTGAAACGAGGGATGCCATCCAAAACTATAATACTTTTTTGCAAGCCGCCTAACGTGTGTGTTTCAGGGTCACCGAATAATTGAAGACAATGAAAAAAGAGAGAGGGAGAGAAGGAGAGAGAGATAAAGAGAGAGAGTGAGAGAGAGCGAGTGAGAGAGAGAGAGAGCGAGAAATACAGAAAGCTTATTAAACCTAGAAAGTATCTTCTTGGGGCTTTAAAGGGGCTTTGATACCAAGGATCCACTGCTTACGCTAACAAACCCCCAAACCTAATTTAAATGGTTTCACTGGCAGCAAAAATTTGGGTCAGGATTTGCAAAAATCGTGCGTTACTGGATCACTTAATGCATAATAGAAAAGGAAACTCGAATGCCAGCCTGATATGACTGAAATGAACCGAATTCGTCGGCCCCCACCCAGATTTTAAAGCTGTAATGGACCCGCCCCTTTGGATCGCGGTTTTGTTTTGTCTACGGTTTCGCCGGGGAATGGGGCATTGGGGCTCAAGATCAGGGCGCTAGATAGAGATGGCTGGTCAGGACATTGGGCTATCTGATGACATGGAGAAGCTAAACAAATTGGCGGTCGAGTTTGCACTTTATATGGAAATACACTATAGTATTTGCAGAGAGATTGTTGCTGGATTGTTGCTGAAGCCGGCAGACGCCTCCGCATGAAGTTTCCGGGCCGATACTATACTTACGGTTACACTGGAAATATTAAAAATTGGAATTGCCGCGAAGTCCGCTAGAGAAAATGAGCAAAACCAGGCTTCCAAATGCATGAAAACCCCGCAAAAAAAACAGAAAACAGTCCGGAAATCGTCGCATGGCTCGGGAAATGCCGCAAAAAGCGGTGACTCATAACCTTTTCCGAGCCTCGCATGCATGGAGCTAGCCTCGATTTTGACGTCACAAAGGACGTGATTTAGGGGCGGTTCAATCAGGGAAATCCCGGGAAAATGTTGTCGAATCTCTTCCTTTTTAGCTACAAAAATTTTAAGGAAATGACAGGTAAAATTCGCGTCCCGCTTAAAGGGGCTCCGAAACCTGGTCCACGGCCCCCTGCTGTGATCCCTGGCAAGTAGCCAGATGCGGCCGCAACGCATGAACTTTTGCCCCTGTTTGGAAGCGAAAACGCTTGAATTGAAAAATTCTGAAACTATTTTTGGAATCCTCAACAAATTTTGATCATTCCAGACTTTTAAATTATGAAAATTGGCCAGAGAAGCACTGAGATCGAGAGATTGGGTGCCTTACAAGACATTACGACATGGAATGCGCACTCAAAAAGTCCCGAAAAGAATTCGGTTTTTCTCAAACATTTTACGTCTTTTCGCAACGAAGTCACTTTTCTGGTAGTTTTCGGCAGTGACCCCTTCGTTTTTTGACCCGTACGGACGAATTTTGACTTCTGAGCCCCTTTAAAATTACCTCACAAAAAGGGAGAGGAATAAGCATAGAAATACATTGGAAGTAATTCATAAATTACTAAGCGAAGCGGCGCCTGCCTAAACAATGGAAGAATTTGTTTTTCTATCCGATCGCTTAATTTTCATTCCAAATAGCGATAGATTGATAAAAATCCGATGGGAAAACCATAAAAATCCATTTTAAACGCATAGATACAAATTTCGGATGTAGGAATGCCAACAATATTTAAAAATTAACTTTTTCTACGCTATTTCAATGTGGGCCGGAAACCCTGACGTCTGAATATTAACAGGGGATGACGGAGCCAAGGAGAAATTGGGGGGGGGCAAAAAATGCGCACTTGAAATTCGAGCCCAAATCGAAGGAGCAGCACAAAAAAGGGGAATTGGACGACAAATAAGACGTAAATCCACCCACCATTGCTTGAAGACGTGGAGGCCGTTGAGAAATTTGCGTTTCAGCCAGCTGAACAAATCCATCGCATCGGCACGCTCTAAGAAATGGGTTTCCCAGTCAAAAACCGCTGTAGAGAAATAAAGAAATAAATTACACAATTTAAAAATAAAAAATAAAGGTATTACAGTTGTTTGGAAACACATGAAAAATCAGAAATTTAGTTTTGTTCAGATTTCTATATCAGCTTTTTCAAAAACAAAGCTTTAAAATAATGATGATTCTCAGAAAAGGTCGCAGTTTGAAAATGTCTATAAAATATATTTAATAACAATTAAGCACCACAAAATCAGCGAAAATCAAAATAAATGCATTACGGTACGAAATTCGATCCAAAAAGCTAAAATTGACCACAAATAACGAGTTAAAGCTAAAGAAAAGTTCAATCGCTTAAGCATCAGGATTCAATGCCTATATAACAAAAATCAATAAAATCGCAACAGTGGAGTGTTTTTTCTGTTTGACTCAAGTGGTGGCTACCCCCATTTTAGGTTGTTTACAGCCTGCCGAGAGATCCGGGAAAGTAGAAAAGAAACTTTTGGTGTGATGGCTCTAATTTTATAGCCTGGACTATGGCAGAAATTTTTATAGTTTGTGCATATTTTTTAATAAACAGCTACCGTATTTCAAAGTAAGAGAGAACTATAAAAAATCATGAAAATTATCAAAAGGAAAAACGACATGAATCGATTAATAGGGTCCAAGTTTTTATTGAATATTTTATGAGTTTCTCACCCCATTCTTATTCGTTATTTGGCTATCTAAATCATTAATTGTTTTAAGCCGTTTAAATTCTACGTAGCTGCTTTGTCAGGTTCTACAAAAACCCTGTAAAAAGCGTGTTCCCCTTTTTTTTAGATTTTCCGGATACCTGCGTAGGAAATAGAAAGAACTAGCGAGCACGAGAAACTAGAAGACACAAAAACTAAAACCTAGATATATACGGGTTATTTTGAAGTCGGAGTCTTCGAAACTGTCAAAAATAGGCACTTATTCTGCCCCAAAACCGCCACCACTTCACAAAAACTTCCAAAAAAGCGGAAACGCATTAAAAACGCGGTGCTAGCTAAATAGGCACGTATTGGAGCAGTTCGGGTCGGGTCAGTAGTGGAGGCCAATTATAATGCTCCCCGAATCGCCCGAATTGTTTGTGTGTCGCCTGTGATCGGGCGAGGATCAATATAGAAAGAATTTTCAGGGCGCTGGCGCGCGAGAGAGGGATGGGTCCTCACTTTCCTTTCTCTAACTCGCTCTTTCTCTCTCTTCCTCGCTCTCTCTCTATCTCTCGCCCTCTCTAACTCTCACTTTCTATCCATCAGATTGTGTGTATGCCCAGGTACCCCATCCTGTGGAGTGGCCCAGTCATCCCGCCAGGTGGGGCCCACACCCTTCGGATAGAGACAACCAAAAAGTGATGTTCTGATGAGGAGTGGCTTTTCGGTATCTCTCGCTCGCTCTCTCTCCCTCTATCTCTTTCCATCTTTCTCGCTTTTTCTCAGACTGTTTCTATCTCCGCGAAACTCACGTTTTTTCAGCTCCACCTCGCGTGAAGTTCTCCAGGGGCGATTATACACCATTGTAGACTGGAATCTGTAACTAGGGTCTTATATAAACCAAAGTAAAACTTCCGGTAAGCGCCCAGGATTAGGATTTGCATGATGGTATGATATCCGTATGCCGTAGACCTATGATAGATGCAGCCGGAACTGCAAGAACAGTTTGGCTGATATTTGTCACGGAAGAAGAAGGAAGAAGAAGGAAGATTTAGGGAATCGCCAACCTAAAAAGTAGAGTTTAACCTCTGGAGAGTAGTCGCTAATTGTGTGAAAAATGTTATTCATTTGGCGCCAAGAAGCTCTCGACAATCCCGCCCCGCCATCACCGACGTGTCAAATCTTCAGGGAACCTCGACCAGCTGACTGGTGATGAATCAGCGCTGGGAGGTAGGTTATTTGCTTCCGTTCAAGTTCTCCTTAGCAGTGTCAAGAATCAAGCCCTTTATTTCAGAAGAAGCTACAAGACATTTGAAGAAACTGTAGCTCATACAATTTATTTCTTTGAGGAAGGTCCAGCGGAACGACCATCATTACTTTCCGCCCAGCTTAAAAATTCGCGGGGTCGTGCCGGTGTATAGAGCATTTCCCGAATAGTAAGTACGGCTGATGGTCCGGCTTCTTCCTCGTCGGGTGCCCCCGGCCTTTTTTTGTTCAGCAGACATTATATAAATTGGCTCCCAACGGCATCGGCTTTCAGGTGGTTCATGATGGTCCACGTGTCAGAACTCGTAGATATGCTGCAAAAAATGGCTGTACATCAAAAATTGTCTTTGTCAAGAATCGGCTGTTTGCTACGATTTTCTGATATTCCAGCGTACAACGTAGAGATCCGGTCACCACCACCCGAAAACGAATCCGGATATTTGCTAAAACACAGTCTGACCGGACCAAGCGCCTTTTTGTTCTGTTGGCCGGGTGAAGAAAGGGGGGCCGTAAAGTGGTCGAAGTTTTGTGATAACAAGGCCCCCCGGACGGGGATCGGACCGGGGGACCGGACCCATATTATTCTACACCGGTCTGCCGGTCCGGTAGACGAGATGAGGGCCCAATTATTTATATTTGTGGCCCTGGCCTATGTGGTTGATGCTGCTAACTACAAAGCATTCGTCTACTCTCCGAAATTTGCCATTTCGCATATGAAATTTATGGGGCGGTTGGCGGATATTTTGGTAGAAGAGGAGTTTGATGTGGTGGGTTTATGGAGTTAGTTATAGCAGTAGCTTACGAAAAATTCATAAGCGGAAGTGTTTACAGCTTTAAAAGCGTTTTTAACGTTTATTATTCCCATTTTTAGCTAATGTTGTTTTCAAAATTACGGAATTGTTTTAGCGGCTTTTAAAACCTTTTAAGTTTTATCGTCATTTCTTCGAACGTTCGTACATCCCTACGAATTTCAATTATGCCATTTTGTCACGAATTTTCTAGATGTGATATTTTTTAAGGAACCAAAGACCAGGAACTTTTTTCCGATTTTCTCGGTCGCAACCGATCTGAACTCTTGATCTGTAGACCCATCAAACCGCCGCTAACTGTTTCATCGCCAGAGTTGCGGCGGCAGAACGCAGTCAGAAATCTGCTTATCAGTTCAATCAAGCCCATCAAGCGATCAAAGCTATTTGTTTTGGAAAAATAACCAGCTGAGCCAAGTGGTCGGGGGTCACCCGGGAAGAGGCGCACTTGATCATTCTTTGCATGGCTTTTGGGCTCTAATCGGAAACAGCAAAGTTACATCACACTAAAAATGGTCAACGAAATTCCTTGAGCACGTGAGCTTGTTTTATCAAAAAGAAAAAAACTATTACGAGGATAAGGGCTAACGAAAAATTCGATAAAGTGGTTACAATTCATCCAAAAAACAACTACCATCTCAAAACGTTGACTAAGTGAGTTATTTTTATTCCAGACAGTCCTGCAACCATCGCTGACCATGGATCTCGTCTCGATTAAAGACGTCCAGAAGGCCAAACTCGTCACCGTGCCCCAGGCTCCCGGAGTAAACGAAGGATGGGCCAAGACGTGGTCCCAATTCAGGAATCCTTGGGTCCATGAGCCGCAGTTTGTTGTAGGTTTTGATATCTGTATCAAGCCAATAATGAATCAGATTTTAGTAAATTAACCAAATTCAATTTTTCAGAAATTGCTCGCCTCGGCCGGCCATTTTGCTACCCAGTGCAACTGTAAGTTTCTCGCCCCAAAAAAAAATTTTAATTCATCGTTTTTTTGGGGGTTTCACCTAGCCAAAAAGAATCCTATTTAAGCATTGAATATACCTATTGAAAAGAGCTCTTTCTCCTTTAGATACCATCCAGCAAACCGACATCATCGAGCAGCTGAAAGCCGAAAAATTCGATGTTTGCTTGACCGAAATGTTTGATCACTGCGGAATTGGTAAGTAATTTTTCTACGCTAATTGTTACGCAATCAAAAGTGATAAAAACCAGAGAATATCGATTTTTAGTTTTAATGAACCTACTCGGCTGCAAATCCAAAATCATAACTGCTTCTACCGTCTCTATGGAGTCGATCAATCCACATATCGGGGTGCCAAATATCTACTCGTATGTTCCAAGTAAGTTTTCTATATAAGTGACCCCTTTCTGTATAACTTTTATACATTTTTTTATGATACTGCTGAAATCGTTCTTGTTTGTAAAACATTATTTTAGTATCCGTGGCCAAGGGAACCGACAAGATGAATCTGAAGACAAAAATTGGCAGCATTATTACGATGTAAGCTTAACCTTAACTTAGCTTCGATGTTAAATTGATTTAATCATACTGAAAGTTTAGAATGTGTTTTTTAAGGCTAGGACTCCGCTATTACTACTATCAATTCCGCAAAGAAATGGACAAAGTGATTGGCTACAACTTTGGCGCCGAGCACCAATTGACGGCTGTAAGAGCCAAAAATTATACTTTGATTTAAGAATTGAATTTAGGATCTGGTTGGGGAGAGTGATCTCCTGTTCGCAAACTCGCATCCGGCACTCGACTTCGCGAAGCCATCCTTGGAGAAAATTATTGATATCGGAGGGATATCGTTACCAACGCCGAAACCTTTGGATCAAGTAAGTATAGCTAAAAACATCCACAGGCAAGTTAAAAGGTATCATGGCGCTAATTTTAGAGTATCAATATAAACAATTGATCAAAAGTGGATTTTTCAGGAATGGAAAGACCTAGTGGCAAAACGGAAAAAGACGGTCTTCGTTTCTTTCGGATCAGTTGCGAGAAGCATTTGGATGCCGGTGGAATGGCGGGACTCAATCCTGGACGCTATGAAGGTATGAATTTGGCGTTTTAGCGATAATAATACTATAGAAAACAAAAAAAAGTATTGATACCTTTAGCAATTCCCCGACGTGACCTTCATCTGGAAGTACGAGAAGCCGGAGGACAATTTCACGGCATCGGCGCCGAATGTAAAACTGACCGCCTGGGGGCCGCAGTTGGATTTGTTGGGTGAGCAAATACGAATTGTATAGAAAAAAAAACCCCCCAAAGAAAACCACACAAACAAAAAACAGAAAAAAAAAATAAAAAGTAACCCTTGATTCGAGAAAAAATGGGCAAGCTAGCGGAGGTTTTTTGGGAATAATCGCCCAATCGATGTATAGTAAATCTACCTTTATAGCGTCCGGCAAG